TGTTATCTCTCTTACTACGTCTACAATGCGCTAAAATTCATCGTGCCGTGACTGTCACGTGCAATGGGATACTATTCTGATTGGCTAAGTAGTGGTCTCGTTGAATATGATTGGCTAAGTGAATTTTTAGGCCCATGCAACCATATATAGTGCGTGACACAATGTCTATATTATCTCTCTTTCACTAAAACATCCACAATGTGCTAAAATTCATCTTTAATAGTGTGTACAAACCAGTACTTACGTGTTAGTATCTGTACCGAGTTTATTACGTACAAGCTCCTCTAGTTCACACGTAAACCCGAAATGCAGTCTGGGTAGTCCTGTTCTAGTTTCTCCCGGCTCAACCCCAGCAACCTGAAAGAGAGTGTATTAAGTTAATTGAGATGTTATTTGCCTTCGATTGGTGGAAAAAGAGATGGCGATTCCTTCTAAGCAAACCTCAAGACGTCACTGTTGAGCATGAAAAATACAATAGGTCGAAATTGCTTCAAGATGACAGAACTTTCAAGTGAAACGTCCCGCGACAGAGGCTTTTTGCGAGAGTGCAGTATAGACCTCTAGCCTGTGATGTCACGCATCACGTGACAGTTTCTTCTGGGAGCCGAGGAGAAAAGGCTTGTTGTTGTTATGTATGGTGTTTGCTTAAAAGGCCCATAAGGCTCATATCCTTACTTTGGCGATAAAAGTAGATGAAGTACTCTTGATTGATCGTCCTCCTTCACTCGACGGACTGCCCTCTGTCTCATCTCCATGGTAACCGTCGCCATGACGATCAGTAGAACCCTTGGAGGCTTTTGTCCTTTGCTGTAGTTCCGTATCATTTGTAGTTCCCTTTTGATTCTGAAAAAATTAAAATTATAGAATTATGGATTTGAGGCGAAATTAGAGACCTTCAGCAAGACGCCCGTTTTTGCTAGGTGCCGCGGCAAATCTCAAACTGCAGTTCGACGTCGAACTTTCGACATTTAGCAAGGCGTCATAACGAAATTGCTGCTGGAAGAGCCGCCAAATTGAATTTCATTGATGCTGAGAGTTTCTCAGTGTTTGCGGGCGTTCCTGGGCCTGACTCCTAGCAGTTAGTAGTAAACCTGATGCTAAAGGTCTCTAATACTTTGTTGGTTTTGCATGTGTACAGATTGGTGTTTTTTACCTTTGAGTCGGTCTTGTCTTCATTTTGGATCTCGCCCAACATTGTTAGCCAAGTGTCTCCACCCAACTGACGAATCTGTTCCACACGTGACCTGAACTGCAGGTCACTGTCGTCCACAGCAGACGTGGAGTCTGGAAAAGAGTTGAACAATTTTGTAATCCGGATACATATTCTGTCATATCATATGAGATCCCAAGTTCGTAATCTTTGCCTCTTTACCTTGGGTATAATGTTTTCTCATTTCATGAACATGTGTCATTCCCTTGAGTATCATTTCTTTGTTTAACGGTTATGCATGAGAAGACACATGAACATGGATACAACTCAAAAAAAGAATCTTATTCTCAAGAGAATGACACGTGGCCTGAGACTGGAAACTATTACGTCCAGTAAAGAGTCCTATTGACAAACGCTTCTTACCTGTCAACTCATTGGCTGAGCTTTCATCAAGTGCGATTACTCGATCCACACTTTTCGTCTGAAAAAAATTGCCGTCAATATTAGGAAATCCAAATTATCCATGTCACAGCGTGAAAACTGGGAAGAAAGGCCTAATTTGTCTTATTATCCAGCTACCTTCTTGTGTCCCGCCTTGGTTTTACTCTGGTTAGAACCACTAGATTGCGGTAAATCTATGATCTCAAAGCTCTGTTCCTCAGTCAACATTTCCTTGACCTTCTTCATTTCACGACGAGTTGCTTTCTGATGATCAAGGGCGACCTAAAACAAACGAGTCAAACAATGTTTTTCTATTATAGATACCTAAATCAAGAGGTTGTTTTTCTCTATCAGAAAACACATTTTAAAATAAAATCTAATGTTTGAGCAAGGACAACTAGATAGTTTGCTAGTAATAGAGTTCAGTAGCTACCTTATCGTTCGTAAAAACAATTCTGGCAGCTTAACATGGACATGCAACTGATGATGAAATCATAGTGTAATCTTGATTCTCACCTCCTCTGCGCGTTCATCAAACGCAGACAGGACACGTACACGGTACATGCTTTCTTTAGCCATCGGGTTTCCTATGAGCAGTAGTACCTCAAGACATGGTAGCTGACCAAGCAATAATATTGACGCGACCTAACGAAAGAAAGATAGTTATCAAGTACCCTTGTCTGCAAACCACATCCACGATTTAATAGGGCCTACCTCGGACAGTTTGTTTGAGCTCAAGTCCAATTCTTCCAGGGAGAAAAGTTTTTCAAGACCTGGAATAAAGGTGACTTTGAATAAACTATGATGACTCGTAAGATACAGAGTTTGCTATGTCAATGGTGATGATATATCAGGATAGCGATGAAATTGATAGTGATCGATAATCATTTATGTTTAAAGTATGGTCATGATCTGATGAATAGAGTGTAAGGTAGTGGTACGGTAAGGTAGTGGTACGTTAAGGTAGTGGTTAAGGTGGTGGTTGTGATAATCGTGTTTTTGGTCTGGGTGATAGTACTATTGATTGTGATTATAGTAATGGGAATATTTAAGAATCAAAACAGCAGATTGCAAATGCATTAAAGACACTCACCATCCACATTACTCAGTAGGTTTGCTGACAGGTTTAGTTTCTTTATATTACCCAGTTTGGCATTGAGATTTTCTTCAAGACATTGGATATCATTGTGAGAAAGATCCAAGTCAACAAGCTTTGAGAGACCCTGCAACGAAAGAGCAGCAAAATGGAATGGCCGGTAAGTCAGAGGATTTACTGGAAAACATGGGCGGAGTAGTGGTAATACACCTAGTAGACCTATACCCCATTCACACCAAGGCTTAAACATGTTTTAAAGTGGGTTAACTAAACAGGTTTGGAAAACTATCTACGAACACTGCACAATATTTGGTGAAATAGTGCATGTAAACTATCCTTTGTCTTGCTATGACAATATTTTAGAAAGTTTCATTATTTTGTAGGTTTCTAGTTTCTTAATTTTTTTTCTTAATGAAAACATAGTTTAACCAAACACGTTTTGGTGTGAATGGGGTACTAGCTTATCACCTCTGCATGGCATCTAGGGTTCGATTTCTAGATCTGGCCTTGGCGACACTTATGAGTAGAGTTTGTTAGATTTCTCTCTTTTTTCTCTCTCCACTGACACTTTTCTGTAAATTCCGATTCAATCTGTGAATTAGCCATGCCCTGACTTTGATCAACCATGCAGAAACACGAGTATTACTAACATGTGATCAAAAAAACCTTGCATACAAACAGACTTTACCTCTAGGTGTTCTATGTTTTCAATTTGATTGTGACTCAGGTTCAACTTTTCTACATTGGGAAGAAGCGCCTAAAAAATAAACACCCCTATTAGTAAACCCTATGGTCAACATGAAAAAGAGGCTATATATGACAAATCAATGTCATCCATGAACAGTTTGATTGACTTGTATTCAACTTTTTCACATGAGGAAAGGCCTGCACAAACAAGAATCTATTATTAGCAAAACTTATGGTTGCATGAACATAAGAGAGAGGCTATGACTTACATACATTTAATGACAAAGCACCTGTTCAAAATGGTACTACTTACTACAGAATCATCAATATAAGGTAGTTCATTATTACTGAAGTCAGCAGATGTAAGCATTCCCCAGGTCCTATATTTAGTTGTTGGGCTCAATAGCGCTGTTCCATCAACCTCTACACTCTCAAGGATTCCTTGTTCCCACATCTCGTCATCTACTAAAATATCCTGCACATAACAGATTTATCATTAAAACATTAATAATATAATACAAGGAATATGATATATATTGTTGCAATTGCAACATATTCTATGGGCAAAGATCCCCCTTCTGTCAAACTCCAGTCAAGCCAAATAAATTTCTCATCCCTAGTCCTTCTCATCTCTTCTCATCCTTTCCCATACACAGACATCGGTTCGATTCCCGCCAAGGGCTTTTGATATTTTCCTCTTATTCTCTCTATTTCATTACACACAAAGAATGCATAATTTATTACTACTTTCCCATACACAGGTACCCCAAAACAGTGATTTTATATATTGTCTGTAATGTGTAGTTCCAGAAATTATTCATATGCCCCCCACGGAGGAATTATTTTAAAGACCCCCACCCCTCAAAAATTCTAAGTTGCTTTGGGGGAGGGGGGTATGGATAATTTCTGGAACTGAATGATGATAGATACCTTGAGAAGATGGATAGAATAGTGTACCACAAGTGAGTGAAGCTTATTTTGAAGCCTGTATATCCCTTGAAATGGCTCCACTTCACAGCCTGATATCTAAAGGAAATGAATAAACAGTGTAAATTTTGCATTTGGGAGCCCTGTGTATACCACAGGAATCTCAAATCAAACTTTAACAGCTTACTTCTAAGGACACCAAAGACTTGAAAAGTGCTAAGTCACACTTGAAGATAACATTTTCACTAAATCTATAGAGTTCATTCTGTGTTGTTGAGACAGCAATCTAGAAAGTAAAAACAAAATGATGGTACTTTAATACTCAATGAATCTCAAATTGGGCTTCCTGTGTGTTTGTAGTCACTCACTTTCAGGTGTTTCAAGTTCTGGATAAAATCATAAAGGTTTCCTATCTCTCCATGATCAACATGTGTGTCTGCAATGAAAAAGGTAAGATATACATATAATACTCCAGTTTTGAGTTTTCTTTCACTCAGTGTTAGACTCGGCACTATGCAGAATATTTATGTGTTCCAGTGAATGTCTGTGAAATTTCAAAAGCCTAACATATAATAGAAAACACAATAGAGGCTTTTAAGATAAACTCACCACAGGTAGGGACACAAAGTTCTAATCTCTTGGTGATGCAGTACAACTGTAGTGGTGTTAGGACATATGGATCTTCCTTGGATAGTATTTCATCTCCTGTTAGTATTGGATTATGCAACAAAGTATGATATATTCAAATATGATAACCATGCATGGTTTATTGTTAAAATTTTTTGCTTAGGATACGACATTAGCTTGTAGTTAAAGCAATATTTTACAAATTGGATTGCTGTTTTACAAGATTTTAATTTCCAACCTATATCTGAAAAATCTGTCTTATATTTATTACTTAATCACCTTTATTGAAGAGTTCTTGTGCTAAACTATGTGTTACTCCACAGACATCCTATTTGGGACCAATAAATATATATAGTTAAATAATATCCAATATAATAGGCAAACTAAAAAGTACATTTAGTTATAAAATGCTTCACAAACCCCAGAAGTCTATACCCTAGCTCTATTGAATTAACTATCTTGCATCTATCCTCACTGCATCCCTCAAGCTAACTTGATCCACTTCGAAATTACCCTGTACATGCAATATATGCAAGCCATTTGTATTTTGCAAAACTTACATATTTATGGCCCTCTAGAAAGATGTTTAATTCATTTGGTAGGTTTTCATTGAATTTTCCTAACAACACTTCTAAATACTCCTCCAAAGCCTGACGTCGTTTCTCCACGTGATCTGCTTCAAGGTTACCGAAGTATTTCTTTGGAGGTAATAAATTTGCTTGAACACCATGTTTCTTAACAAGCTGGAAGATATTGTATTAAATCATTTTTAGTCCAAATAATAAACTTATGTTGATGTACATATATCATGATTGTAAGCTGCACGGCTGCTACTAGCACCTAATTACGCAGCCCGTAAAGTCCTCCACTGGTCATGATTGTGAAGCGCATTGAGACCATGTAAAATGCACTATATAAGAACCCCGCTATTGTTAATTATTATTACGGCAAACAAAAACTTTTTTTCTCATTTCAGAACATTTATTTCTAATCATTTATTTTACTTGAAAAAATATATATGAATATCTCTGAGATATTAAAGTATCCTCATGCATATGTTTTTTTCATGTTCAAGTTTCATTTCTATATTGAAAGCTAATAGCTATAGCTGGGGTTAAATATAGTTGGATGAACTTAAAAAAATGGAAAAAAGGATGCACCGTCATCAAACAGCTGTTTCCTCTTTCAGCATTTTTCGGTTGTTCAAAAATGATGAAGTTCATTCTTTACAAAGTAAAACTAACCTTTTCATGAAGTTCGTAGAATTCTCGGTATCGTTTCCTTATAGTCCAAGAATATTCTTTGATAAAAACTTCAATAAAGTATACCTAGTATAACAAGAAAAACGGTAAGTATATAGCACCTCTAAAAAGCAATGATATATGAAAAAATAATGATTCGTGTCAAATGTCAAATATGTATCAATTCTAATTCTGTTCGAACTTAAAAGATTTAAAGATAATCTTTGTAAAACTCTGTGATTTGCGATTGTTTTTTTCTTCTTGGATTTACTTGTGAGAACTCGTATATCCTTCGTAAATGAAGCGTCGTAGTATTCAAAAAAGACAATGGAATAAAGATAGTACTATAGTAAGTTATCTTGTAAAAATTAATACCAAAGAATTGTAAAGTATTAGCAAAATCTAATTTTATCGATCCAACAACAATACTAGCAAAATGCCAACAAGACGAAGATCGAGATCTACGGTTATAGATCTTTGGATGTTTCTGCCAGCAACAGAATTTGAACAAGTTCAGAGTAGTACATGTTTACCGTACCTATACTAATAACATTATTTTTTATCTTAAACACTTACTGTGTGTCCATCGACCAGATCTACATCTGGAATCACTATTTTACGTATCTTCATGCTCAGATTTACAGTTCTTTCGTCATATTTGGAGTATTTTGGAAAGTAAATATAAGGTCATTCTAACTTGGTTCAGGTACGCAACGTACGACTAGACCTGCTGCTCGTCGATGATGCATGTTGATCGTTCTATAAACACTAAGTAACCAGGCCTTTTAGTCACGCAATAAACATTGCATGCGTGACGAGTTCTCATTTCTTTCTTTCTTTCTTTCTTTCTTTCTTTCTTTCTTTCTTTCTTTCTCTCTCTCTCTTTATTCTCTCTCCTTTTTAAACTGTATGCTATACGCAAGATAGCTATACCAACAAATCATAAGCACAAAATAATAACATTTAGAACTTTCAAAAATTTTGATGCAAACAATTTTCGTAGGGACTTGGCGTCACTCCCTTGGGATAGCCTGAATGATTTAAAGGACCCAAATGATATGTGGTTAAAATGGAAAGAATTGTTTCTATCTATTATTGAATTGCACGCACCGTTAAAGCGGA